GAGAGAGAGAGAGAGAGAGAGAGAGAGAGAGAGAGAGAGAGAGAGAGAGAGAGAGATCCGGATACTACCAATTAGTTAAACATGATATTACTTATTAAGATCAGCAAGTATCATTTTGCAAGTTATTACTATTTTGCAATAAAATAATTAGCATTTTCTTTTATAAGTTTATCTTTCAATGTTTTGCAAAGTAATTATTCTGATTACGAAATGAAGATATTTGTGCAAACGATTGTAAAATTATAATATTATCAAATAATATGTGCACAGAGTATGGGATCACACCATCCATAGGCACCGGCGATGGGATGGGTTTGCGTTAAGAAGGAAATGACAATGAATGGGACGGGCGTTGCAAATATTCACATAGACTTAACATGGAGTGCGTGATTAATAATTGCATTTATATTACATTTCAAAGACACATAATTCAATTAATCGCTCGTTATTATCAGTTGTAAGGGCTGTCGCCAGTGCAGCGCCGGTAGTAATAAACGTGTACTAAAGGGGTATAATGTTATGTATTATAAAAAAGCTGTTAAATAAGTCAATAAAAGACATTTGAGTGCTTTCTATCGGATTTGGATAAAACACTTGTTATTTCAAAAGAAGATTATATGTGGTATAGAATTAAGTCACTCCTGGGGTCACACATACAACACTTTATTTTGCCAAATGTGTCACAAATTACTTCCTATGTTCTCATCATTCAATAATTAGACAATAATTAAAACGTCAAACACAAGAGAGAGAGAGAGAGAGAGAGAGAGNGCAAAGAATATATATTTAAATTTATGGTCGGCTTTTGAATTGTATTATTTGTCTTATAAATTATTTATTATATTTTGTAATTTATAATTAAAGAATTAGTGAATAATTTCAAAACTACTCTCTGTTAGTGAATATTCAAGAATTCATTCGGAATATTATTGTGAAATCAAAATTTTTGTAATAAATTCTTTAGCTTTTAGTGTGTATAATATGTGCATATCTATCGCCCCCACGATTAAGACACCCCTTAAGAATATTCTGGTCTAAAATGCAATGCAATGGCATTTCTCTGCACTTTTCTTGCAATAGTGAACCGCATGTCTGATCTGCTAAACGTCTTTATCCAATCGATTATTGTTTTTATATATAACTTATGTCTTAATGAAAGGCAAAAAGAACGAGAAAACGAATAGAGAAAAGTAAAACATCACAAAAATTAGATATCGATTAACATTAACTTATATTTGGCGCAAATCTTACAAAACTATTGACAAATTGTTAGAATACATACAATAGTTTATGGGCTCACTATATCAATAACTTTCGCCCCCTGTTTTCATACACCCTTTTGTCCAGAAAATAATATTTGCAATTAATTTGTGAATTAAGAAATGCTATTTTTAGTGCCATTTACCAAAAGGGCACTTCATTTACAAAGTAATTGTATCATGATTTTTATCGATTATTATTAGAGCTAACAACTAAATAAATTGTTTTATTTTATTTTTATTTGATAGATAAAGATATTACTTACTTCAATGTCACAAGTTATTAATAACTAATTTAATTATTATATTTTTGTAATATTCATTTGTTAATTCTGAGTAAATTTTCAAATTAAATAATTTTAATGATTTAATTATAACTTATAAATAAAATATGAAATGATTATATGGCTTAAAAATACCATAATGGGTTTTGTTGAAGTTTATGTCGATTGACCCCTTATTCCCACAGAAATCTCATTTGCAAACTGTTGTTAACTGCACTCTAGAATATCTCAATATTCTTGTGCTCTACTAAACAATATTCTGTTGTTTGGTATTTATATGAGTGGTGTTTAAGCTTTGAAAAACATATTATTGTCCAGAATTTTCTTTAATAAAATATTTAATGGTATTTTTTTTATTAATTGTGGGATAGCTTTAAGTCCATAAAACGTATGGAGGATTTAATTGTAAATTAGATTAAATTATTTCTAATGACTTAAATTGTGGCAATTGTAGGCTCGACTGGAAATCGATCGCAACGGCAACGGAGCCGTCATATTTGCGTACGCCTTCACAAATGGTCGGCGCCGGTCGTCAGCCCGCTATTTACAAGACGTGATCTGGGAATCACATTACGGCCCGATTCCCGATCGCATGCGAGTCGTGCACCGAAATTACATATCGATGGACAACCGTTTGGACAATCTGTGTGATCACGGGCGGCCGCTGCGGATGAACACCATGTTGTCGGAGACCGCCTGCGTATTGAGTAGGTTATTATTTGTTGTAGGCGGCGTGAGCGTCAGGTGGCCGCGGGGGCACTGGTAGCGGCGGTGGTGTACCGAACAGCACCTGAGCCTATACTGGGCCGCAATCCAACAGTTGCCTCCCGAACACCTCCACAATGAAGTGATTATTAACTTGTTTGTTTAAAAATTTAATTTATGCACAAAATATTTGGTGTAAATATTGTATGAATATAAAGGCAAACACAGAATATTCTGTTATTGTCTCGCTTTAGTGTGAAGTTGACTGACTTCTTAGAAAACCTCTCAGGGATTATAAACAATTGTGTTGTGAATTAATAATAGTAGCGATTTTAATATCAGAATTACACGAGAGATTGTGTTTAATGTATTGATGTCTAAGTAATCAGACAATCCTTGAGACCATAGTGAGCCCAACGATCCCATTGTCTGTCCCATAATGTGTTATTGTCTGTTAATATAATTGATCATGAAATTTATCTATTTTATAAAAGACCTAATTTGAGATTCTTGTATTTCGTATTAAATTTCTTATAGCATTCATCGTTTGAAAGTACAAAATGTTTTGATGCCAACGGAGATCTGGTCGATGAAGACGGTATGTATTGCCTGTGCGCACAGTTTTAGTGCCCGCCGGCGACGCCTACTTGTGGTACAACAGCCTCTGGCGGACGCATAACTCATCCAATAATAAACAACATCCGCCGCACTCGCAGTCCACCGGCGCCCCCGTGACCATCGCCGCCACCACAACCGAACAGCACCTGAGCCTATACTGGGCCGCAATCCAACAGTTGCCTCCCGAACACCTTCACAATGAAGTGATTATTAACTTGTTTGTTAAAAAAATTTAATTTATGCCCAAAATATTCTGTGTAAATATTGTATGAATATAAAGGCAAACACAGAATATTCTGTTATTGTCTCGCTTTAGTGTGAAGTTGACTGACTTCTTAGAAAACCTCTCCGGGATTATAAACAATTGTGCTGTGAATTAATAATAGTAGCGATTTTAATATCAGAATTACACGAGAGATTGTGTTTAATGTATTGATGTCTAAGTAATCAGACAATCCTTGAGACCATAGTGAGCCCAACGATCCCATTGTCTGCCCCATAATGTGTTATTGTCTGCTAATATAATTGATCATGAAATTTATCTATTTTATAAAAGCTCTAATTTGAGATTCTTGTATTTCGTATTAAATTTCTTATAGCATTCATCGTTTGAAAGTACAAAATGTTTTGATGCCAACGGAGATCTGGTCGATGAAGACGGTATGTATTGCCTGTGCGCACAGTTGTGTACATTATATACAAACAAAATCACATCTAATGTGTGCCTAATTGTTAATCGTTAAGATTGAGTTTTAATTTCTGTGACACAAAAACCTCTCTCTCTCTCTCTCTCTCTCGTGTAATTCTGATATTAAAATCGCTACTATTATTAATTCACAGCACAATTGTTTATAATCCCGGAGAGGTTTTCTAAGAAGTCAGTCAACTTCACACTAAAGCGAGACAATAACAGAATATTCTGTGTTTGCCTTTATATTCATACAATATTTACACAGAATATTTTGGGCATAAATTAAATTTTTTTAACAAACAAGTTAATAATCACTTCATTGTGAAGGTGTTCGGGAGGCAACTGTTGGATTGCGGCCCAGTATAGGCTCAGGTGCTGTTCGGTTGTGGTGGCGGCGATGGTCACGGGGGCGCCGGTGGACTGCGAGTGCGGCGGATGTTGTTTATTATTGGATGAGTTATGCGTCCGCCAGAGGCTGTTGTACCACAAGTAGGCGTCGCCGGCGGGCACTACACACAGATTGTCCAAACGGTTGTCCATCGATATGTAATTTCGGTGCACGACTCGCATGCGATCGGGAATTGGGCCGTAATGTGATTCCCAGATCACGTCTTGTAAATAGCGGGCTGACGACCGGCNAGAGAGAGAGAGAGAGAGAGAGAGAGAGAGAGAGAGAGAGAGAGAGAGAGAGAGAGAGAGGTTTTTGTGTCACAGAAATTAAAACTCAATCTTAACGATTAACAATTAAGCACACATTAGATGTGATTTTGTTTGTATATAATGTACACAACTGTGCGCACAGGCAATACATACCGTCTTCATCGACCAGATCTCCGTTGGCATCAAAACATTTTGTACTTTCAAACGATGAATGCTATAAGAAATTTAATACGAAATACAAGAATCTCAAATTAGGTCTTTTATAAAATAGATAAATTTCATGATCAATTATATTAACAGACAATAACACATTATGGGACAGACAATGGGATCGTTGGGCTCACTATGGTCTCAAGGATTGTCTGATTACTTAGACATCAATACATTAAACACAATCTCTCGTGTAATTCTGATATTAAAATCGCTACTATTATTAATTCACAACACAATTGTTTATAATCCCTGAGAGGTTTTCTAAGAAGTCAGTCAACTTCACACTAAAGCGAGACAATAACAGAATATTCTGTGTTTGCCTTTATATTCATACAATATTTACACCAAATATTTTGTGCATAAATTAAATTTTTAAACAAACAAGTTAATAATCACTTCATTGTGGAGGTGTTCGGGAGGCAACTGTTGGATTGCGGCCCAGTATAGGCTCAGGTGCTGTTCGGTAGTGGTGGCGGCGATGGTCACGGGGGCGCCGGTGGACTGCGAGTGCGGCGGATGTTGTTTATTATTGGATGAGTTATGCGTCCGCCAGAGGCTGTTGTACCACAAGTAGGCGTCGCCGGCGGGCACTACACACAGATTGTCCAAACGGTTGTCCATCGATATGTAATTTCGGTGCACGACTCGCATGCGATCGGGAATCGGGCCGTAATGTGATTCCCAGATCACGTCTTGTAAATAGCGGGCTGACGACCGGCGCCGACCATTTGTGAAGGCGTACGCAAATATGACGGCTCCGTTGCCGTTGCGATCGATTTCCAGTCGAGCCTACAATTGCCACAAATTAAGTCATTAGAAATAATTTAACGTAATTTACAATTAAATCCTCCATACGTTTTATGAACTCAAAGCTATCCCACAATTAATAAAGAATACCATTAAATATTTTATTAAAGAAAATTCTGGACAATAATATGTTTTTCAAAGCTTAAACACCACTCATATAAATACCAAACAACAGAATATTGTTTAGTAGAGCACAAGAATATTGAAATATTCTAGAGTGCAGTTAACAACAGTTTGCAAATGAGACTTCTATAGGAATAAGGGGTCAATTGACATAAACTTCAACAAGATCCATTATGGTATTTTTAAACCATATAATCATTTCATATTTTATTTATAACTTATGATTAAATCATTAAAATTATTTAATTTGAATATTTACACAGAATTAACAAATAAATACTACATAAATATAATAATTAAATTAGTTATTAATAACCTGTGACATTGAAGTAAGTAATATCTTTATCTATCGAATAAAAATAAAATAAAAACAATTTATTTAGTTGTTAGCTCTAATAATAATCGATAAAAATCATGATACAATTACTTTGTAAATGAAGTGCCCTTTTGGTAAATGGCACTAAAAATAGCATTTCTTAATTCACAAATTAATTGCAAATATTATTTTCTGGACAAAAGGGTGTATGAAAACAGGGGGCGAAAGTTATTGATATAGTGAGCCCATAAACTATTGTATGTATTCTAACAATTTGTCAATAGTTTTGTAAGATTTGCGCCAAATATAAGTTAATGTTAATCGATATCTAATTTTTGTGATGTTTTACTTTTCTCTATTCGTTTTCTCGTTCTTTTTGCCTTTCATTAAGACATAAGTTATATATAAAAACAATAATCGATTGGATAAAGACGTTTAGCAGATCAGACATGCGGTTCACTATTGCAAGAAAAGTGCAGAGAAATGCCATTGCATTGCATTTTAGACCAGAATATTCTTAAGGGGTGTCTTAATCGTGGGGGCGATAGATATGCACATATTATACACACTAAAAGCTAAAGAATTTATTACAAAAATTTTGATTTCACAATAATATTCCGAATGAATTCTTGAATATTCACTAACAGAGAGTAGTTTTGAAATTATTCACTAATTCTTTAATTATAAATTACAAAATATAATAAATAATTTATAAGACAAATAATACAATTCAAAAGCCGACCATAAATTTAAATATATATTCTTTGCAGAGATTTCGCCGCAAAAAATATCAAATGTCAAAATGGCTTATAATGCCATATCTTAGGGGCAAATATAAAGTACACCACAAACACAATAAGTGTAAACTTATTTTTTTTATAATAAATTACATTTTTAAGTTTGCGTATAATTCTGTAGTAAAAGGCATTTGGTTTCATTTCACACCATTTTAAGTAATAACTATCAACCCCTCCCCTCCCTATTTGCCACATAACCCCTTTGAAAACACAATGAACTTCAATGATGGTGATAATGGCAGACTTACTTCAAAGCTGTACTCTCGGGCCAACACAATATCGTGTTCATCCAAAAGCGTATATTTTAACTAAAAAATAGGGAAATAAATAATAATAACACAATGAACTTCAATGATGGTGATAATGGCAGACTTACTTCAAAGCTGTACTCTCGGGCCAACACAATATCGTGTTCATCCAAAAGCGTATATTTTAACTAAAAAATAGGGAAATAAATAATAAAAACATATGATTAACACATTTTGAAAAATTGATATAAATTATGTATAATTTGATTGATTGTTGATATAATATATGCCTATTTTATTGTATAGTTTTCAGTGTTTATTTGATTAAATGTTTCATTTTTAGTTAAAAACCTAAACAATTGATCGATATCTACGGTTCATATATATTGTTGAGAGTATATGTACTCCTAATATAGCGACTGATTATTAAATAGAGTTATCGATTGATAGGAAAGGACTGAGAGTTTAGGTTTTTTGGGAACTCAAGAGAGAAAATATTTTTAAAGCACAAAAATCTATAAAAGTTTTGTAGAGACGAGTAATGGAAATCTCTGTCAAAATTTTTGCCATAAATCATGAATTAATATATTAATAAACAATACATTATATAATCGTTTGTTTTAATATGAGATGTGTTTTAAATATGATTATCGATTGAGAGGTCAGCACTCAATTGAAACTCAATTAATCTCTTAAACTAAAACAGTGTTTACTATAAACTATACCCAAAAATCACACCATTTAGTGTTTACTTAACACTCTATGAATAAATAGATTAATTAAATAAATACAATATTTTGATTATAAAACGTAAAAAACAGTGTTTACTATTCAAGCTTACGGTACAGAATATTCTGTATGTTGTGTTCATTGTATGGCTATTATAATATATGATTTGAATGTCAATGGTGTACACTATTGAAGTAAATAATGTATAATAATTTGAATTATATTATAACGAGATTGTCTGTGATTAATGCCTGAGATTTTTAAGCAATGATTTCTGTTTGAAGTGTTTTAATCTATTGATCGCCGCTTTTTATGTGTATGTGTTATAAATATTTAATGTTTGGCAGAAACAGAGAGCGAAGACTATTATATAATATATAGTGCTTTTCGGAAATTGTTTTCAATTATATGGAGAATAAATGCACAAAAAATAAGTTTTTATTCCTGTCATTCATTTAGGAATTAGACAAAAAGTTATTCTCTTATTATTAATATCTAAAAAATATAATTAAAATAATAGATAGAGTGAAGAATATTATTATAATTGTATTTTATTTAAAACTTCAGGGAATTTCTGGCACACAATTTTTTTTGTGTCAATAAGTATTTTGATTAACTTATTGTAAAAATTACTGATTTTAGAGTTAAGGATATTCTGTGTCTTTATTTTGGTATTATATTTAATAATAATTTAGTCGTGAAGTGAAAACTATTTGAACAGTTGTGTGTCTCATGTTTAGCAGAATATTGTATTCCAGAGCTCAATAAGAGAGTCAGTAGTTGGTGACAGAGAGAGAGAGAGAGAGAGAGAGAGAGAGAGAGAGCATCTGATAGATGCTTGGGATGAATAGAGAGGTAGACAGAGAGTAGGGAAAGAGGGAGATAGAGAGCGGGAGAGAATGTGGCGTAACGTTAATGTATTGCCACTAAACTTGTATAGCAATTGCTTTTAACGGTTCGGATCAATACGTAAGGGCTTTAATACATACAATACATTTAAGTTAGATTTGGGAGAAAGAGAGAGCATTCAATACAACAACACATAGACATAGTATGCCATACTATGGCACACATAGACATGCATAACAGCGCACAGAATATACCGTATATTCTGGTGTACAAAAGGCCAGAGAACTTATGTGATGATCGCATATAAAATTGTATGTCAGTTACGGTGTATATATTGTACACACATATAAATATAAGATGCAATGGTTTGGGCACTCGGATAGCAACCAGAAATCAATGAATAGCAACACTTTTCTCTCTTCTCTATCTCCCAATCCCTGGTTTACAATATACACACTACTAGTACTCTTGTGCTCTTCACTTCTAGACATTACCAGAGAAGGAGAGAGAGAGAGAGAGAGAGAGAGAGAGAGAGAGAGAGAGACTAATGGTCTTTAAGTCTTATATCAATTGATTTGTTTGGGACACACAAGTGCTCTATTATTATATATAATATACAATATATTGTTAGAGAAATATAATACAAGAATTCTGTCAATTATTTTATTTAATGNGAGAGAGAGAGAGAGAGAGAGACTAATGGTCTTTAAGTCTTATATCAATTGATTTGTTTGGGACACACAAGTGCTCTATTATTATATATAATATACAATATATTGTTAGAGAAATATAATACAAGAATTCTGTCAATTATTTTATTTAATGTCCAATAAGTCACCAGAAATTACTACAACAAATATAACAGTTATTCACGTTTTTTGTTTGTTATTCTTGTTTTACATTTTATTGAAAACTTAATTTACATTTAAATTAGATAAATGATTATAGTTTACACTAATTGTCGATAGTGTTGACAACTTTATACATACTGTAAGTCCATAAAAAATAATTAAGTTAATTATGCTTTAATGAACTGATTAAATTATTAAATAAAGTTAATTTCTATAAATTAGATAAATTATTATTTACCAATATCTAAAAAGAGCCTAAATTAGAATTTATTTAGAAAATATTTACTTTGTTCAAAAATATGTTGTGATTTTGAATATAATGGTAGAGTTAATGATAAACATTAGTGTTTATATTCATATGTAGAATAATTCACAATAATTTTGAATAAATATAATGGTCTTTAAGTCTTATATCAATTGATTTGTTTGGGACACACAAGTGCTCTATTATTATATATAATATACAATATATTGTTAGAGAAATATAATACAAGAATTCTGTCAATTATTTTATTTAATGCCCAATAAGTCACCAGAAATTACTACAACAAATATAACAGTTATTCACGTTTTTTGTTTGTTATTCTTGTTTTACATTATACTGAAAACTTAATTTACATTTAAATTAGATAAATGATTATAGTTTACACTAATTATCAATAGTGTTGACAACTTTATAATACTGTAAGTGCATAAAAAATAATTAAGTTAATTATGCTTTTATGAGCTGATTAAATTACAGAAAAAATTATAAAGCATTTTATGTGAAAATTCAATAATATTAATAATGTTGTCTTAAAATGTTAAATTAAGTTAATTTCTATAAATCAGATAAATTATTCTTTACCAATATCGTAGAAAAAGAGCCTAAATTAGGATTTATTTAGAAAATATTTACTTTGTTCAAAAATATGTTGTGATTTTGAATATAATGGTAGAGTTAATGATAAACATTAGTGTTTATATTCATATGTAGAATAATTCACAATAATTTTGAATAAATAAATACTGATTAAAGACATTATAAAGAGCACAATAAACTCCTGCAGATAGGTATACCCACACACGCCCCCACCCCTGTGCCCACCCCTGTCCTCTGCCCGCCCCTCCGGCCAAAGGCGTATGAATAGTGTGTTTGAATAACATTAAATTGATAGCCAATTAAGCATTAGATTAAATTCAGTGAAAGAGAGAGACCATTACATACATATATATTATATTTATAAATAAATCAATACTATATAGTCTTGAGTTGTCTGCAGACAAATTAAGGGCAAAAAACTTTTTTGTCTGGAATTGATTTTTCGGTTAAACACAATATTTTCGACTCAAAAATTTCTCTTTCACAGCAAAAACATACGAGTTTTGTGTCTGAAAATTATTTGTGACATTAGATATGGATTGAGAAGACAGAGAATAACCGAGATTTACATTTGAAGAAAGCATTGAGAGATTGCAATGGGAAAGCCATAGACCAAGGTTTCTATGATAATAGCATTGAGAGGAGAGGGAGGGAGAGAGCATTCATAGACATTGGCTTTATTTATGTAAAGCCATTCGGTTTGGGTATAAAAGAGAGCAAAACAGAGGGAAAGAGAGAGAGAGGGAGGGAGAGAGCGCTGGTAGAAGAGGAATGACCTCACATTCAGCCGACATTCACGCGTAATCCTAGTCTTTAACAGTCAGCTCTCTCTCTCTCTCTCTCTCTCTCTCTCTCTCTCTCATTCTTTCTTTATATCTATTATACAATAAAAACCCGAAATTGGTTTTTGAAGACAAAATTCAATTAAATTTCAAATATATTTTTTAATTGAAAGAGTAAACTGAATGTGTGTTATAATGAGGATATAATTAATTGTAAGCGTATTGTATTGTTAATTGTATAGACAGTTAGAGTAATATATGACACATACCTTTCCGGCCGCCCGACCCAACCGAACGATACCCAACTTGACGCCCACCGGCCAGAGCTCTGAGGGCTGAGCGCCGGGCGCTGTTGACTGCGGCAACTGATGTCTCGGCGTTTGACTCAAGTCTTTCATTGTGTGAATTTCAATGTGTTTCGCACTGATATTTGACTGACTGTTTGGATGTGAATCCACTAATAATAGGCACACAAATACCAGTGTCTTCTTTAACTAGTGATTCGTGTGTCGGAGGCAGTGGTGGCACTCAATGGCCTACCGGTGTGCCAGTGGTTTGCCTTCAAACGGAAAACAAAATAATGTAACCATTTTTATATTAGAAGTAAAATAAAAGTTTTTACTACTATTAGAAACATATAATAAATGGATATGAATTGCAATGCAATGGGAGTGTAATGTATGTTGAGTTGTGTATGGAGTGAGAGTTTGAGAGGCACTCGGAGGAAATGGACAGCATATGCCTCCCTGTGCTGTAGGGCGAGAGAGAGAGAGAGAGAGAGAGAGAGAGCTAAAAGAAGAAAGAGTACAAAAATGTTGTACGACTTCTTGCCTACAGTCAATACTCGCACCTAATAATAACCATATTATTTAAAAATAATATTTAATGGAATATGATTTGTAAAAATACCAAGGATATATTTAATATTGGTAATTTTTATAAGATATGTGTGTATCTACGTGAATTTTTAACATGTTCAATAACACATAATATAATTTAATGTACAGAGTATGAGAAGTTCACTGTATTTGGTGTGTAGTGAACCCTCACCTGAAAGTACCTTATATTATATGTATATAAAAGTTATACTTAAAAACCAGTGCCAGAAAGAGAAGGAACCGGGAGTTTGTATGTGAAGTATGTATGGTTGAGACCTTTACCGACACAAAATGTAATGAATAATAAAATTAAAACAAAAAATGTATCAATTTTAAAACACAAAGTTTTTAAAATAACAATATTTCACAGAATAGTGAACTTTATTTGATATATTTACGAGTGTATAGTGAACATAAATATTGACCAAGTACAATTTAGTGATTCTTATTTTACTAGAATATATAGTAATTACTCAAATGGGCTAATTATGGTCAAAATCTGATGAATAATGTACAGGAAATCCTATTTTTGAAACATAACTTAATTATCATAAACTTTATAAATCTTTTTGTAAGATCTCTCTCTCTCTCTCTCTCGCACTGAAAGAGTGGTTTTTGTTCACTGTATGCGAAAACCATTAACTTTTATGTAAAAAGTTTTTGAAGTTTAAGAATTGAGAAACAAAACAACAAAAAAGTTTGAGAAAATAAAATGAGATTTTTATTAACAAATGAAGAGTTGATTTTCAAGTTTTTGTTGTGATCTCTCACTTATGGCTCACATTAGCGCTAATACTGTATTAAAGCGTTTGCAGTGAATGTCAATGCATTGCATAACAACATATGAAACACACAAACATTAACTTATTATTAGTAACTTATATATTATAACATACACTCAACTGTAATACATTACAGGTATACGTATTACGTCTGCAAACATACAATAAACTTATTTTTGTTAATAAAAATTATATAACTTATTAGAGATGAACTTTTTTACACAACGATTGTCTTTTATAAATGATTCACAAATAGTTAATAATATTATAAACTTTGAGAGAGAGAGAGAGAGAGAGAGAGAGAGAGAGAGAGAGAACTATTTACGAAATAACAATTATAAAATACAGTGAACTTGTTCAAAATAAAACCAGACAGTACTAGATTAAATATCAGCTGAAACTACAGTGTAAACTGAAAAAAGTTCACTGATATTAATTGTTGGCTTTAATTATACAGACAATACTTGTGGCAATCATATGACAAAAAAACATGAGTGACTTTACTGACAGATAAAACTGTTTTTGCCCTCAAATTATTAATTACATAATAAACACATTATACACACTGAAAATATACATTATTTACTATCAATGTATCTAGATATTTAAGTGTTAATAAACACTACAAACAAACTAAATAAATACCACAAAAAAACTTTTACATATAATATATTCACTAATATTGTAATAATCAAAACCAAATACCAAACAAACAATTAATAATCAAAAGCCAAATAATAATAAATACTTACAAAAAGAGACGAAAAAATATAAAGTGGTAGAAAAGAAAAAAGTTGTCTTGTGTTTCGCTGTGAGATCAGTGGCCCTTTATATTACACGCCAGTACTGTCTCGTTCGGGAGCCCACTGTAAGTGTGTGTAAGGAATGGTATGTGTGGTGTGAGTGTGTGTTTGTGTGAACAACAATAGGACGTCGATATCTAACTAGCGTTGGAATACACAGAATCCAACTCTAAGGTTGTGTTGCAATGAGCACCGGGAGGGAGAGGACTGGAGAGCACTGGTAGATAGGGATAAGAGTTTGTTGTATGTATGAAATGCTCGCCACTAGAAAGTGTATATAAGTTAGCCCTCAATCAACTCCTAGTATTCGCATCTGTTCTGCACAACACTTACAGACAACACAACCCAAACCATAGCATAGCATAGCATTGCAAACGCGCGCCCGGACTACACCACCAGCGCTCTGGAGGACACTCACCAAACACTTACTGTATATTTTTGTGGAGGGTTTAGGAGTGACACCACCTTTCGATTAGTATACCAGTCATGTATGTATGGGTGAGACTGACTCCCAGTGCCAATTCTCGTCACAGCTTTCGCACACAGTCTGAACACCGAATGATGAGCTTCTTGTATGCGAGAGAGCTGTTTGTCTGTCTCTTAACACTCGCTCTCTGTCTGTCTATTCATTGAGTGATGAAATTGGTTGAGAGTTTTGTGAAGAGCACAGGCAGGCAAGTGGTTGAGTCCATACAACACACGCCGATAGAGTGTACTGTACTTTCTTGCGTAACACAACGCCGACAATAGTTCATACGTCGAGTTAATACTCGGTGGCAGTGCTCTCATAGACCTACTGGTGCTCAACATTACAGACACTGGTTTGACGCTCTCGATCGCACCGCAAACGCATCCAACTATTGATTTAGTCCTCAACTCTCAATCGATATACGCTTTTATATATTGTATTGTCTCTGAACTTGAAAATTGACTTTTAATATAAATACCATTTGTTTTATGATTTTATGAAACATTAATAAAAATAGACTTTTCACTCAACAAATCAATTTCCCAGTCGTTAGGAATTGTGTCAAACTATTAATAAGCTAATCCAATCTGCGCTTACACTGTATATGTGTGCATAACAAATACCCTTACAAATCAATAAATGACCCGGGTAACAACCTCCAGCTGGGAAGTTAATTTCTCTACTTTGTGTCAAACTATTAATAAGCTAATCCAATCTGCGCTTACACTGTATATGTGTGCATAACAAATACCCTTACAAATCAATAAATGACCCGGGTAACAACCTCCAGCTGGGAAGTTAATTTCTCTACACGTGTACTGTATATTACATGGATTATTTAGAGCAACATTTATGTCATGTCCTGTGCTCTCATAATTCATATTTGAAATACAAGAACACCAGAATATTCTGCATATTTAATAACATAATAAAAATAATATTAAATTCTGGGCTTGAATTCTCTTGGAATAGGATTCTAGGGCTTGAAATTATATGAATCACATGTTCTTGGTAATTCTAACTCCTTTCCAGTTTACCCCGATCTCCCGTTGATTATTACCAAGAATTAGCGGATAAGCCAAAACTGCTCTATTATTTATAGTCACCTATTTTATCACAAACGATGATTCGTATAAAAAATAACATTAATATCGGATCGGGGTACTATTTATATCTTAATATTAAATACTAAATGGTAGACAATAATTACAAATAGAGTAATATTTATCATGAGTAATGTATCATGTCTAACTATTCGAGACTGGCAAATCCTGGTTATTACTGTTTATTATTAAATTTATATAATATTTTTTCATATATAATTTGCATGTACAAAATGCAAAAAAACAAACTAGTAAAGTATACAGTGTATACTATACACTTATATATGTTTAAGAGACATGTATTTCTCCATAATAACCTTACTTTCAAACGAATAGAAAACTTGAAAAAATAAAAATTCATTTTTTTGCTGAAAATCCTATGTTAAATGTCGTTATCATAAATACAGTAAACTTTTGGTATACAGTAAGTGGTAAATAAATTCAAACGAAAATTATCTTTTATATACGTTTACTTGACTTATAGTCGCGCCATATCTGTAGTTATTTCAATATTATCATTTAATTTATCGCTATTTAAAGCTTTAAAAAACATCAAATTTTATATAAAACATAATTAGTAATTTAAAATGCTTTTATAACACAAAATAGTGCATATACAAATATTCTCTCCCTTATTAATATTAGAATTATTATATGAAATTGTTTATTGAGATTATAATATAAAGATTTATATGATTTTCTAAGAATTTCTATAATCTAATTCATTATATCGATTGTAATGTATATGAAATATACAGTTTAAACAAAATATCGGAAAACAGAGATGTTTTGATTACAATATTCAAAAGTGTCTTTTAAAAGTTGCGATAAAATATTAATTAATAATTTTATAAAATCCTTTATGAAGTCTATAGTCTAATAATCAAACAAATGATAGCGTAATATATCTCTCATAAATGACTTGCTTTTAAATGAAATTATAAGTGTTTTTTGATTCTAGAAATTCTAAAAATATATTAAATTTTTGAGGAAATTTTGTGAATAATATTTACATTACATTTAACAGTAAATATGTTCATTGATGTTTGCGTACAAAATACACGCGTTTTAGGTTTCCATTTATTACATACAAAATATGAAAAATAGCCTCATAAATGTCACAGAATATTCTTTGCAAACAAACATCAAGTGTTTTATTGAATAAAAATATTAAATTTTATTTGTATATATAGTATTGCTTGGATTTAAATTACCATAGTTTCGATTTTAGATAAAAACATAGTAAAATTTATTTAGTAATAAAAGTTTAATTGTATAATTATATAATTTAAACTAAAATTGGCTTTATATAAATCTATAGTAAATTTATATAAAATTTTTTAAACTAAAATTGTAAAATCAATTTTCAAATGGAGGCAAACCATACAATTCGGGCTTAAAATCGAGAAGAGTTTTAATAATTTGTGTGGCGTTTGTTTGTTTGCATCGAAACCTTTGGTCGGGAACCATAATGCACTGCATGCCAGCGCTGATCGCACCGTCAACACCGAGTCCGGAGTCTTCAAACACCAGACATTTATTGGGCTCAACGGACGGTTTGAAACGACGGGCGGCGATAAGAT